TCACTACATGGAACTACAGATATTCCCCCAATAAATAATCTAAAGGAAGTTTGTTCTGAAGTTTCTATCCTAAATCTGAGAGATATCAAATAGATCAGGAAACTTGTTATTTTTTGGGACATGTATTTAACCCCTTATTTTTGTCACTAAACAGTCTCCATATACAGTGCCTTGCAAAAGTATGAATCCCCTTGGCGTTTTTCTTATTTTGTTTCATTACAACCTGTAATTTAAATTGATTTTTATTTGGATTTCATGTAATGGACATACACAAAATTGTCCAAATTGGTGAAGTGAAATGATAAAAAGTACTTGTTTCAAAAAATTCTACAAAATAAATAACAGAAAAGTGGTGCGTTCATATATATTCACCCCCTTTGCTATGAAGCCCCTAAATAAGATCTGGTGCAACCAATTACCGTCAGAAGTCACATAATTAGTTAAATAAAGTCCACCTGTGTGCAATCTAAGTGTCACATGATCTCAGTATATATAGACCTGTTCTGAAAAGCTCCAGAGTCTGCAACACCACTAAGCAAGGGGCACCACCAAGCAAGTGGCACCATGAAGACCAAGGAGCTCTCCAAACAGGTCAGGGACAAAGTTGTGGAGAAGTACAGATCAGGGTTGTGTTATAAAAAAATATCTGAAACTTTGAACATTAAATCCATTATTAAAAAATGGAAAGAATATGGCACCACAACAAACCTGCCAAGAGAGGGCCGCCCACCAAAACTCATGGACCAGGCAAGGAGGGCATTAATCAGAGAGGCAACAAAGAGACCAAAGATAACCCTGAAGGAGCTGCAAAGCTCCACAGCAGAGATTGGAGTATCTGTCCATAGAACCACTTTAAGCCGTACACTCCACAGAGCTGGGCTTTACAGAAGAGTGGCCAGAAAAAAGACATTGAATAAAGAAAAGAATAAGTAAACACGTTTGGTGTTCGCCAAAAGCCATGTGGGAGACCCCTCAAAAATATGGAAGAAGGTACACTGGTCAGATGAGACAAAAATTGAGCTTTTTGGCCATCAAGGAAAAACGCTATGTCAGGCGCAAACCCAACACCTCTCATCACCCCGAGAACACCATCCCCACAGTGAAGCATGGTGGTGGCAGCATTATGCTGTGGGGATGTTTTTCATCAGCAGGGACTGGGAAACTGGTCAGAATTGAAGGAATGATGGATGGCGCTAAATACAGGGAAATTCTTGAGGGAAACCTGTTTCAGTCTTCTAGAGATTTGAGACTGGGACAGAGGTTCACCTTCCAGCAGGACAACATTAAAATGTCTTGGAATGGCCTAGTCAAAGCCCAGACCTCAATCCAATTGAGAATCTGTGGTATGACTTAAAGAATGCTGTACACCAGCGGAACCCATCCAACTTGAAGGAGCTGGAGCAGTTTTGCCTTGAAGAATGGGCAAAAATCCCAGTGGCTAGATGTGCCAAGCTTATAGAGATATACCCCAAGAGACTTGCAGCTGTAATTGCTGCAAAAGGTGGCTCTACAAAGTATTGACTTTGGGGGGGGTGAATAGTTATGCATGCTCAAGTTTTCTGTTTTTTGTTGTCTTATTTCTTGTTTGTTTCACGATACAAAATATTTTGCATCTTCATTTTGCATGTTGTGTAAATCAAATGATACAACCCACCCATTTTGTCTGTCATAGTTGACGTGTACCTATGATGAAAATTACAGGCCTCTCTCATCTTTTTAAAGTGGGAGAACTTGCACAATTGGTGGCTGACTAAATACTTTTTTCCCCCACTGTAAGTATATACTGTATTACAGTAGGTGTACTATAATAGACAATTTCAACAGAATCGGTGGAATAAATACACCCCTGATCACACGCAAACACAGTTCACTTTCATAGAAGCCACATACAAACAGCATGATCACTTTGCTAGTTCCTTCCTTCTCGCATCCACACGCTCCTCCTCTCACCTTTTCCCTTTGATTGTGGGCTTCAGTGCACAACACATCAGCTGTTTGTGACCAGGTGAAAAAACCTTTCCAAGCCAAACCTTCATATCATAACCACTACACACAGCCTACATAGTTGTCACCATATTAGCTAACGTCAGTCAACATAGCTACTAGAACTAATGCGTTAGTAAACCCGCTACAATCATGCAGTACAGTGTACAGTTAGCAAGCAGTTTAGCAGTTACACCAGCAGGCCCCGGTGGCAATAAATTAATAAAACCAAATGCTTACCTTGACTTGGAAAAGTTTCAGTGTTGGATAGCCATAGCCAGCTAGCTTACATAGCATCCCTCTCTGTTTGAGCCGAGTGTTTGAGTAGGCTAAACTAGCTAGCAGCATTCGCTAGCAACGTGAAAGTAAAAAATATATATAAATATATAGCTCTCTCTCGCTCTCTCCCTCTCTTGCTTCTTCTTCATTTTTAAATAAATACATTTGTTTAAAACTGTTCAACTATTGTCTCTATTCTCTGAGTCAACTATTCACCACATGTTATGCACTGCAGTGCTAGCTAGCTGTAGCTTATGCTTTCAGTACTAGATTCATTCTCTGATCCTTTGATTGGGTGGACAACATGTCAGTTCGTGCTGCAAGAGCTCTGATAGGTTGGAGAACGTCCTCCAGAAGTTGTCATAATTACTGTGTAAGTATATTGAAGGGGGTGAGAACCATGAGTCACTTAAGTTTGTATTGAAGTCAATGTACCCAGAGGAGGACGGAAACTAGCTGTCCTCCGGCTACACCATGGTGCTAACCTAGAGTGCTATTGAGGCTACTGTAGACCTTCATTGCAAAACAGTGTGTTTTAGTCAATGATTTGGTGACGTGAATATATTTAGTATAGTTATATCTAAAAAGTATAACTTTTTTAAAGTTTCACTATTTTTATTTTTATGAAATTCACTGAGGAGGATGGTCTTCCCCTTCCTCCTCTGAGGAGCCTCCACTGGTGGTGTGTGTGTGTGTGTGTGTGTGTGTGTGTGTGTGTGTGTGTGTGTGTGTGTGTGTGTGTGTGTGTGTGTGTGTGTGTGTGTGTGTGTGTGTGTGTGTGTGTGTGTGTGTGTGTGTGTGTGTGTGTGTGTGTGTGGGTGTGTGTGTGTGTGTGTGAGAGAGAGAGAGAGAGAGAGAGAGAGAGAGAGAGAGCGAGAGCGAGAGAGAGAGAGAGAGAGAGACAGATTTATGAAAATAGTATAGGTGAAGGAGGGAGGATGAGGGGCAGCATGTAATTCCATATGGTAAACAAGATAAAGACACTGAAGCATTGCAATTTGAACAAACTCTATATTTTTAGTCATTTAGCAGACGCTCTTATCCAGAGCGACTTACAGTTAGTGAGTGCCTACATTTTTCATACTGGCCCCCAGTGGGAAACAAACCCACAACCCTGGTGTTGCAAACGCCATGCTCTACCAACTGAGCTACATGGGGCCATAGTCAAATAATCATCATTTTACTCTGAATAATTAATTAATTGGAATCAAAACAAATGAGGTGATCGTTGTTAGAGTAACAATCATAACAAAGGTGTTGAGAAATGTACTGAATATGTTAGTGTAAAGACGTCTGTTATTTTTTACTATGTGCGCTGTCTCTTTAAAATTACCCATGATCCTGTTAGAGTTTTGCTCTGGATTTAGGAAGTAATGTTAGTATTACAACTCTTACAATGTTATTTGTGAGTAAGTCTTTGCAATAAATGCTCAATGTTGAAAAAGGGGATCCTATGATCCTAAAAATCCTACTTCGATAGTTATACACCGTCAGTTAAACATGTGTTTCCACTTCAACCTTCATAAAGCTTTTTGTCGCCTAGTTAAATACGGGCATTCAGAAGGCTTGTTGACTAGGCTACTAGCTGAGAACGAAGTTTCTCCATTCTAGCCTAGGGGAAAGTCCCCGGACACATGGCAGAAAGTGCCCTGCGTAGGGTCGCAGTTACTCGGCTTGTGCGTTACCATTTGTAGCTGAGATGTTCCATGGAACGGAGCTTGGTACTCACGAGTCTACTTTGTCAGTGCGATAGACATGCAAGTAATACTAGCGCATTAACAGAACGGGGCTCATTCTCAGAATGCACTTTTATGAAAATGTACCATGGGTGAAAACATTCTTATGTGGGCAGCTCGGATGTAGCAAAACAGAAATGTGCAGCAAGCAAGCACAAGCCATTAGCACTTTATCTATGTGAATGCATATGTTAGAGTGCCATCTAGAGGAGATAAGTAAAAGACACACAGCTTGTATATGCTGATGACTCAGAATATGACAGCCAGAGTTTCAACGTCATATTCAATCATCACATGTATCCAGATATTATTAGCGCTTAAAATGTTTGGTTACCTCCATATTATTATCCCTTGTAGTCATTAGTTAGGCCTAATGCTGGTCAAATAGTAAGAAGGAAGGATTGTACCCCAAGGGAAATACAGTAGCTCTCTGTATGTATTTGGACAGTGACATTCAAGATTGCTTTTTGGGGCTTTATACTCCATCAAATAAATGTTGATCCACTCTATTTGACTCATTCTATTTCCCCCAGTCATCTTTCAGCATGGGAGAGAGAACAAAGACATTGGACTTCCCTGTCATTGCCACTAGATGGAGTGCTGGAGCTTTTGCATCCTTTGTCCATGTGTCACGCTCACGTCAAAGTACATAGTATTCAATACATAATACACACACACACACACACACACACACACACAGAGACACACACACACTCCAAAAGCTGACAATGACCTAGTTCCACCCTCTCTGAGCTGAGCTCTCTATCTCTCCCATCATTCATCATAAGGGGGCGTAGGCTAGGTAGCAACATCACCATCACCACATCAGGCACCACGCTAGGTCTGCTGCCTCATCTCCTGCACTACAGTAGCACACTGGCGAGAGGGAGAGAAAGGGGATGAGAGATAGAGGGAGAGCGAGAGCGCCAGAGAGAGCCAGAGTGTATGACAGAGAGAGAGCGTGACAGTAAAAGAGGGAGGTAGAGATTAGAGGAGAGAGACAGAGGGAGGGTGTGTGTGAGAAAGACAGAGAGAGAGAGATAGAGAGACACAGAGAGAGAGAGCTTAGGGAGGAGGAAGAGAGCAAAAAGAAAGGAAGGAAAAGGAGAGAAGGGGGCTAAAGAAAGACAGGATGGCAGAGCCAGAGCTGAAATCACGGAGCAGCCTGGAGAGTTTGAGGAAGGCAGCCGAGGGCCAGGAGAAGATGGAGGGTAGGTACACCGCTACAGCATAGCACACACACACACACACACACACACACACACACACACACACACACACACACACACACACACGCTGTAGCCCAGCATAGACACCACATGGTGCAGGGTTGCATCAGTCACTCATACGCTGCTGCATGATCTGGTGCAGCAATGTATGCATGCATTTATGGATGTATATGTATTTGGTCATGCACAGCTATCAGGCTATTACTCAGTGAGGTGGTATGGGGGTTAGCTAGGGTTTTCTAATGTAATGTGATTTCTTGCAGGGCTACTGAAAGGTTGCGAGTGGGGATATGTTTTGACTTGTGTGGTTAGGAGATGTATCTGTGTCTGAAGGGCCTATTACAGCCTATTACAGCAATGTAAACACAAGAACACGCTTATATACCCCCACCCCAACCATGCTGCTTGCATCCTCCTACTTTCCCTTTATGGCATAGCTTATAAAATTCTTCCTCATATGTCTATTTACAATACAGGGGTATGTAAAGTCCATGTGCTACTCAACTCCTGAACTATCATTGAGAGGAGAGTGCCAACAATCCCTTCTCATGAACTCTCCCCTGTCCCCCCTTCTTCCCCAACCTGTCCCCCCTCCTGCCCCACCCTGTTCCCCCTCCTGCAGCTGAGGCGGTTCCGGACAACCCAGACAAGCCTCCTTCGCCGGACAAGCCTCCATCCCAATCCACCATTACCGACTCCAACGCCGTGGCAGCCACCACCCCTACTGCCGATTCCTCCTCCCCAGCTAAGGCAGCAGGCGGCAAGATCGAGCTGAAGCGCAGCATCACGCTCTTCAACGGCGTGGGCATGATCATCGGCACCATCATCGGCTCGGGCATCTTCATTACGCCCACAGGGGTGGTAAAGGAGGCTGGCTCGGCCGGCCTGTCGCTGGTGGTATGGGCTGTGTGTGGTGTGGTGTCCACCATGGGCGCCCTGTGCTACGCCGAGCTGGGCACCACCATCACCAAGTCGGGTGGAGACTACACCTACATCCTGGAGGTACGTGTGTGTGGGGGTGGGGGTTGTGTGTGTGTGTGTGTGTGTGCATGTTTGTGTGTGTGTGCTTGTCTGTGATGTGTGCTACTGTATCTGGAGCGGTTAAGAAATGAGCTGAAGCCAAATCTCTGTTGTTCGCAAATGGATTAATAAAGTTGTACTGTATTGTATTGTAGGTGTACGGCGAGCTGGCCGCCTTCCTCAAGCTGTGGGTGGAGATGCTGATCATCAGGCCGTCCTCCCAGTACGTGGTGTCGCTGGTGTTCGCCACCTACCTGCTCAAGCCCCTCTACCCAAACTGCAGTGTGCCCGACAGTGCCGCCAAGCTCATCGCTTGCCTCTGCCTCAGTGAGTATAACCAGCACCACCACCCGAATCGGGTGGCCTGTACATTGCAGAGATAATACTTTTTTACATATAGTGAACTATATACAAATACTGACGCAAACTGTAACACACGTTGACCAAACAGGTCTTTCTCAGCCAGCTGCTGAAGTAAATATTCATTACAGCTACATCTTCATTTCAGGATTATTGCTGCAATACACAGCCCTCCTTTTCGTCTTATTTTGGAATCTCCCTGCCGTTAAGGGACCTTTTTCCCCCACTGATCTTCTCTCACTTTTATATTTTTCTAAAATAACAAATAACAAATGACATCAATAAAATAAAATAAATAAAAACATATACAATTATGTTCTCCTTTGCACTTCCCTCTCTCAGCATCATTGACCTTTGTGAACTGCATCAGCGTGCGGGCTGCCACCAAGGTCCAGGACTTGTTCACTGCGTCAAAGCTCCTGGCCCTGATCATAATAATCGTTTTCGGTTTCATTCAGATCGGTACAGGTAAGGAAAACACCCAGTTCATGCATATACTGGTGTCTGTGTGGGTACATCTGACACGCGTTTGACACACTCTCCTCCTGTCTATAGGTTAGTGCTCGTTAAAGGTATTTTGCCACGGCTTAGCTAGTTATGTGTATTATTCTGGGTTTTCACCAACAATGTCTTTATAAATTACCAAATTGAAGCTGAAAAAGATTTTGATATTAGTATTTTATTATGTTCATAGGCCTATCTGTTATAAAGGTACACTATCTGCACCCACCTCATGAATTCATAGAAAAATAGCTTTGTATGTAAAGACAACCCACCCATCCGAGAGATATAATGTGCAGCCATCTTTTTCTTCGCACTACATCTGGTCGTGCTGCATGCAGGGTTGCCATGGAAACTAGTTGGCGAGCTTGTCGTGCTGAAGTCTAGAGAGGAAGACAGGGGGAAATAGGAAAGCACTGCCTTCTGAAACTAAGAGGGGTCTGTTTTTTCAGGTTCCTCTCTCTAGCATCTTCTACCTCTTATGTAGTTTCTAAAGTTGAAGAGAAAGACAGAGGGAAAATATCATTCATGATTCTTTTTTAAACTTGGGAGTAGGAGAGACATGACCAGAATGTGTCAAGTAGATTATCTTGTTAAAAATGGAAATCTTGATTAGATTTCCATTTTGCAGTGTTGTAACACACTTTTCATCTTATTGTAACAGTGCTTTTGATGTAGGATGACCAAGAATATCCACAACTCATAAGAGTCTCATTGTTTGCCACTAGAGATTATGTTAATTTATTCCAACATGGACAACAAGGACCAAACGCTTCATTGGCCTTCCTGCTTGTTCAGAGACAAGAGAGAGTGATTATTGTGTGTGAGAGAGAGGGAGGGAGAGAGAGAGAGAGTGAGAGAGAGAGAGAGGAAAACATATGTACAGTATACAAAGCAGCTTCTCTGAGTTGATATAACAGATAGACCATGCTATGCTCCCAATCTATTCCAAGTAATGGATGCGTTGTCATTTACACCTGAAAAGAAGAGGTAGACAACACAGTGGAGTAGAAAACAACCTTTTTCTTTTTCACAAAATAAAGTAAATCCTGACAGCATCTTCACTTTCTGATGAAGGCCTCTATAGTAGGCTTAACCCTCCCGTTGTCCTAGGGTCAAAATGACCCGCCACTGTGTTGAACCAACTTTATTTAAAACAATTATTTTGGGGATCATTTGTGAGAAGGAGGCAGTGAGACTAAAGAAAGTATCACTGCCTCCTTCTCACAAATGATCCAAAAATATAAAAATTAAATAAAGTTGGTTCAACACAGTGGCGGGTCATTTTGACCCTAGGACAACGGGAGGGTTAACACTGGACTGGATATTGTGTGAATAATTGAGTAGATAGACGTTTCTTATCATCGAAAAGGTCTCCCTCCTCATTTTGAAATGTCAACTCCCAAACATTATTATGTTCTCAGCGCATCAATGGCAGACAGACTAACCCAGGGTTAGGTGTTTGGAGGGTGCAGCCTGTGTCAAAGAAAATATATTTTTGTTCATTTATTTTTCAAAATGTCATGTCTATCAGTCAAACATAGTCACACATACACTCTTAGAAGAAAATGTGCAATCTGGAACCTAAAAGGGTTCTTCTGCTGTCCCCATAGGAGAACCATTTGAATAACCCTTTTTGGTTCCATGTAGAACCCTTTTGATTCCAGGTAGAACCCTTTTGGGTTTTGGGTTCCATGTAGAACCCTAGTTTCCACAGAGGGTCCTACCTGGAACCCAAAAGGGACAGCCGAAGAACCCTTTTGGAACACTTTTTTCTAAGAGTGTAGCAGGCGTGCAACGGCAAAATATATTGGGCCAAATCACTGCAATAATTGTGATTTAATATGACTTCATATTTAAAGTTGACATTCTTTGTGTGCGTGTGTATCTACCATATTCCACGCAGCAAACATTCATGTATATGATATACTGTACTGTTGATATTCTCAGTCCCTATTGCCAAGCAGTGATATCAATGCTGCTCTCTTGTCTGTGTCTAAACAGGTGATGTGCCATACCTGACACCAGAACTGGCATTTGAAGGCAGCAAATGGGGAGTCGACAACATTGTGTTGGCTCTATACAGTGGACTCTTTGCTTTTGGTGGCTGGTAAGGCCTTTGCAACACCACGTAGGGCGTGTTTACACCCGGGTTGTATTAGGTTACAACATAGTAACATTTTTCAAAATGTTATGCAATGGAAATCGTAAACAAGCGCTTCTTATTGGACAATTTTAGATAGTTTGCTTCTGTTTTCTTCTGTTTTGTGCCCAGTGAATATGACCCTGGTTTTATCATCTGACTTTTGTTAACCAATAAAGATGATCTTATCATAGGATGCTTCTTATATACTATGGATATAATTCCAGTTGTGTAGACTATAGAAGGTTGATGCTATGCTACTAATCTGATCTAATAATCTAATCTAATATTATACTTTATATAATGTTGTTATACTGTATAACGCATCATGTTCTGTTTCCTCTCCTTTAGGAATTACCTGAATTACGTGACAGAGGAAATGATCAATCCAGAGAGGTGACTTCCCACTGGGCACAGACGTCAATTCTCAACGTCTATTCCACGTTCATTTAACGTAATTTCATTGAAATGACGTGGAAACAACGTTGACTCAACCAGTGTGTGCTCAGTGGGTTATGTGTTATCAAGGTTTTATTGAGGATTGTACAGAGTTACCACAACAAAATATGTCTATCACTATGTGTATGATTCTCCTCTAACATTCTGATTGTGCTTAATTGCACTCGATTGACTGCATGGAGGTGTTTTTCAATGTGATAATGACAGATCGTGACATTTCAGATAGCAAGAAATTCACAGTACTAGTAATCGAATATACAATATTTATCAAATATCCCACTCATATAATGTAATAATAGAATAATAAGTATTGAATACGGTTATGAAATTGCATAAAATGAAATACAAATACAGTACTAGATCAAATCCCACAGCTGACTCTGATAACCTCATATTGGATTGGCTGACACATTATCTGTCATTACTGACCTTTGACCTTTATTCCAGAAACTTGCCACTGTCCATCATAATTTCCATGCCCATTGTGACCGTGGTGTACGTACTGACCAACCTGGCCTACTTCACCACTATCCCCCCGAGTGTGATGGTCGAGTCCGAGGCAGTAGCTGTGGTAAGGATGGCTTTATTCAAAGATAATGTTTGGGAGCAGGAAAACAGTGCGCTGATATTCCCTTTTTCATTCATAATGTTCCTGTCATTTATTTTGCTAACAAAAATAGCAAAAAATAAAGAGGTTGAATGTGAATGGGAGTATTGAATGGTAGTGCTTTCCCATTGCAGATCTTTGGGGAGTACCATCTTGGTGTGATGTCCTGGCTCATCCCAGTCTTTGTGGGCCTGTCCTGCTTCGGAGCGGTCAATGGAAGCCTGTTCACCTCGGCACGGTCTGTATCTGATCAACACACAGATAACTCGGCATAGAGTGTGTGTAGATCTGTGTGTGGTTGTGTGTGTTTAATCCAGTCATTTGATACTTTAATTAAAGCCTGGAGATTGTATCAAAATGCTCAATCATGAGGGTTCACCTGTCTCTCTCATAGGCTGTTTTATGCTGGCGCTCGAGAGGGTCAGCTCCCTGCTGCACTGGGATTGGTCCACACTGACCTCTTCACCCCAGTGCCCTCCCTCATTTTCACAGTGAGTACTACCATTGTTCTCTAAATTGGTTTAAAATGTAAGGCCATCCTTGTTCAGACAGATTTTGAGATCCAATTTGAGAACCCACAATTGGGCAAGGCTAAAATCCAAGTCATCAACTCAAGTCAATCTGGCACAGATTATTAGATGGTAAATACATCCCAAAATCTTCCATAGCAACTGAATAGCAGTTATTCCCATCGCAATACCTAAAAAGTGTAATGGTAATGTTTTACAGAAAAAATGGCTAATTTATAGTCAACGTACATATGCAACGCAAGAATGCAATTAGCTACCCCAAAAGTTAGACTATAGATTAGGTTTAATACATGAGCCAAACGTCTCCCTGCAGTGTTTTCTGTCCATGCTGTATGCGTTGTCCAAGGACATCTTCTCGGTCATCAACCTGTTCAGCTTCTTCACCTGGCTGTGTGTGGGCATGGCCATCGCCGGCCTGCTGTGGCTCCGCTGGACCAAGCCAGAGCTACGGAGACCCATCAAGGTACAGTTACTGTAATAAGCCCTGTTTGAATACTCTTCAAATGCATCCTTCCTTCATCCCTTCCTTGAATTAATCACTGATCTGATATGGCTGGATTGGTGTACACCAGATGTCCTATGCATTGCTTTCACCAGTTACTGTATGTCATGTCAGATCAGTGATTACTTTAAGGAAGTGAGGAAGGATGGATGCATTTTAAGATGATAAAACAGGGCCTAGGTCTTAGGGCCCTACTTAAAGAAACACTATGCAGAAATCGGACCGCCATTTCCTGGTTGCTAAAATACGAATAGTTTGCTTAATTTTAGTTTATTTTAGTTTATGTGACAAGGGAATCATTGTAGAATCTAAACCACTGTGAAATATATTTTCCATAACAAAAAACACTGTATTTTCAGCAGTTTGAAGCTGGTGGACAAAACTGAAAGTAAAAGACTCAAAAACAAAACTTAAGAGCGGGGAGCATTGAAATAGCACACATAGAACAGATCCACTGCTTTTTAGACTTGCTTTCAATGAGAATGACAGATCTATAACACAAATTTCTATGTGATTTTAGTCGGGTCACCCTAAAAGTTACAATTAAAATGAGTGACCGGAGAAAGTCAAAAATAATGTTTTCCATGCAATGCGAGATAGCACGATCGAAGTGATATGAAGCCAAGTTTCTTTTAGTTCCATCCTGTAACTGTTGGGTTTGTGTACATTAATCAAATTTTTCCTGGTAGATTTGGTTGGTGGTGCCTGTGGTGTTTGTGCTGGGCTGTGTCTTTATGATCGTGGTGTCCTTCTGGGCAGCTCCCTTTGAGTGCCTGATAGGCAGCGGGATTATCCTCACTGGTATCCCCGCCTATCTCCTGGGGTACAAGTGGAAGAAGCCCCACGTTGTAAAGAAGATCCTAGGTGAGCTGGTCATGCGGTCCTGCGGTTTCTCTGATATCTGTTACTGGCATAGTTCAAACACGGGTAGCACAACTCATGTATGTGGAGGCAAACTCATAAATCACAACTCATGTATCACAACTGATATGTCAAATGTGTCATTATACATCAATTGCTTGAGTGTGAACTAGGTCTATATGTAATGTACTATGTTGTCAAGGTTGGAGATACATTGGTGACTGGTTATTTTATACTACCATTAACAACCATTTCTGTTTTTGCACATAGCAAACAGTTTTGTGTCTAAGGTTAACATCTAGTTAAATCGATTTCTAACCAATTTACTACCTTTTTACTCAGATAAAACCTTTCCATCTTTAACCCCCAAATTAAATTAAATAAAAAGCAAAGAGGTTTAAAGGAAGAAAAAACATACATAATAAATATAAATTTTAATCGTTACACATGTGCTTCTAAAAATGGTGCAAACTTTTCACTAGTGCAAATTAAATGTGTCCTTCAGTGTTAAAGACCACCAAAAAAGGACTCATGTGAAATGGGTGTTTTCTTTCCTCAGAGATCTTTACTCTGTTCTGCCAGAAGATTTTTATGTCTGTTCCAGAAGAGCGTGAAGAGAAGGAATCAGCCGAAGTAGCTGAAGAAGTCGAAACAACAAAGGACGACTGAGTCAATCTTTCAGTTGGAACATTACATGTTTACACTCATTATTGCTTTTGTGATAGAGTTCCATGACTCTTGGTAAAGTAGGGTTTATGTGAATGTATGCTTCGGTGAACATATTTTGTATTGTACATGCATTTTCATACTGCGTTCATCCCTTTGTACTCTCTCCAGCAATTCAATTCCAGTTTTTCCACTTTCCAGTCATATAGAGTACTTCAAACATTCTCACATTTTACCTTACCAAACCTTTTTTATTTGTACCTATTTTGTACTTCAGTATTCAAAAAGACCTGAATTAAGCTAACAAAAAGAGGAGTTAGGAAACAGACAAAATCATTTTGATCAAGTTTTGGTATGTTCCCCAGACAATCATCCAAATCCAACTATATATTTAACTTTTGAATTATATTTTTATTAACCCCCACTTTAACTGAAGGTATGTCTTCAACTCAGTGTATTTGAAGGAACTATCTAGTGCTCACTTAATGTGATTGAACAATGAGAAACCCATGAATTGATTCAGGTAACTCATACAGCACATTCTGTAACCTTGCTTTTGGAGTGTAATGTCCCTTTAACATTATTGCAATTATGTTAACAATTTACAGTTTTAACATTATTTATTTGTGCACTGTATTGCTACAAGCAGTTTTACATGTGATGTTTGGAACACATAGTCATTTCCCATTGTCAAATTCACTTTGAAACATTTTCAAATTGATTCAACAGAGCAATATTTGAAGCACATTTGTGGATTTCTATCGTGTTGTGTTCTGATGTGTTGCCTTAAGATTGTTGTTACACAGGTCAGTTGCTTGTATTGATACTCAATGCCCTGTTACCTCTCAGTTCCTATGTCAAACCATGCCTTCATGATATTGTTGTAAACATTGTTTTATGTTATTCGATACAAGCAGTTGTGAATATGGTATCAAACCAGTCAACCATTTTGCTGTGTCTCAACTTTCTACCAGATACCATACATTTTTACCCATTGTGTTCGGTGAAGACATTTGTATCAATGTTTTGTATTATTTGTACTCATTAGATACCATGCCAGAAGTCTGATGTCGACATTCAGCCAATATGACTATTTCGCTTCTGATGTATACTTTTGTCATGTCAGACCAGAATGACTGTTGTGAGCATCATAAGTGGATATTGGAGGGTCTTTTCTCTTTTGAAGGAGCGATTACTGTAAGTGCAGATCTAAGATCAGATTTCCTTACCCCAGTCCAAACCTTCTCTCATCCCAAGCCAGACCAGTTCAAGCCAAAAAAAAAAAAAAAAAAAAAAGAAAAAAAGACCTAAATGAAATTCTGAAGGGCCTTTAGCACTAAATGTTAGCACAAACATGTACATGTTACTGAATTTGGGACACGATGAAGTATAGAATGTTAACTGCTCCTATTATTATAAAATATAATTTCCCCCCATTTAATTATCGAGTGGCTAGGAAAGTAGGGGCAATAGGTCAAGAGCACAATAAGTCACTGGAGTTACAGAAAGTACAAACTGTGAAGAAGCTCGACAGGCACAGAGGGAATAGAGTTTACAGGAATAGGATACAGGAAGAGTTTACAGATAGTAAATAAGGAAGTATAAGGAATAGGGAAGTTTAAATAGATTACTGATATCTGTATCTTGTAAGAGTATATTCATGATTGCCAGAATGAGGGAGAAACTCCTGGGGCACCTTCATATATTTGTGGCCCAAAATGTTTCGCACAACATAGTTCAGGTGTGTACAAAGTCTTGCGTATTATGTACTGTAAAGTATTTGATTGTATTTAATGTTATGGTAAAATACTTATGTTATTTGAATTGGAAGAAACAATTGTATCGCTGTCAGCTATTGTAACTTAAATGTCAGTGACCATGGCGGGTACATCTACCATTAAACTATTTTTGTTCGAAAAGGTCTGTGTCTTTGTGGTGAAATGAAGAAACACATTTTCTTTCATACATTTAAAGATTTTATTCACTGGCGTAGCACACACCCCGCAGGGGGACATTTGAAACGTCTTTATTCTTTTGGAACTTTTTTGAGTGTAATGTTTCCTGGTATTTTTTTAATTGTTTATTATCCATTTCACTTGCTTTGGCAATGTAAACATATGTTTCCCATGCCAATAAAGCCCTTAAATTGAAAATTGAATTGAGAGAGCGAGAGAGAGAGATTCGGACACATTAGTTTTACACATTGACAGTTTTAGGTGTTAATGTTTAAAAACATGTCCAAAGCTAACACTAGAGGGCACTATATTATCATGTTTTATGGTTACAGGCTCTGTGTGTTTCTGAGAGAGAGAGAGAGAGAGAGATGGAACGAGAGAGAAAGAGTGAGGGGGGAGGGGAGGGATGATATATTATATTTATTTTCTACCTCTAATCCAACTGTGAAATTCATAAGTGAGTGCCTGTGTTTTTAGATTTTCAGCTAGGCCTAGCAGTACCGTGCACACTGCATCAACTCTCATAGTCTTCTCATCTTCATAGTCTAACCTGATGAAAATGAAATCATGCTGAGTGAACAAAGACATCTACATTGGTTCAGACAACTAGCAGCTAAATAACTGATATGTGCACATAAAAAACGTACAGGATTGGTATAAGCATTGGTTGGAAGAAGTTTTCACCATTGTAAAATCCTTCCGAGAAAGTGTGTAAATGCACACATCTCGAGAAGGGTGAAGAATCTGGACTCAGCCTATCACGTGAGGCAGCCAAGCCTTGAGAGGAACTAGCCTTTCACTCGCTAACCTCGCCATATAAACGTGATAAACCTACTAAGAACAAGTCAAAATAAGCAGAGGCACACAATGTATTTTCCACTTAAAATATTTTATTACACACTAAAGAAAACAAAAGAAGCATTGCAACACAGAATTAACCAAATGCTGGCAAAAGCCAAAGCCAATTACCATGGAATTTAATAATAATAATAATGCACCCTGATGAAAACAAGCCAAAACTTTACTTCATATCATTCATAAATAGACTCGAAATCTGTCAACCGAATGATATAGATATTGCGAAAACATGTTATTAAACTAAAAGTAATGTGTTCTCTCATCGCTGTCTTTACAAATAAAATAAGTACATTTGGCAGGTTTGTGCGCAAATTAAATATCTACCTGGCGACCATACCTTAGAAACGTAAATTGTGCTATAGTGAAAAACTAAAATGTTTTAAGAATTAAATGCATTATTTACTTTTTTCACAACAAATTATGAAGATAAAATCAACACAATTCTAAATCACCTAATGAAACTAGTCAAAAACTTTAAAACCCACTGTTATGTTGTTATCTTTAGTAACATTTCACATTTAGCAAGTGGTGTTGGGGAGGGGGAGGGGGAGGCATGGTCTGCTGGACCAGAGAGGTTTAAACTAAGGGAGAGGTTTCACCTTTGACCTCTTCAGTCCAGTCAAATCCTGAGGCCAGAACAACAGCAAAGGACCTTGTGAAGATGCTGGAGGAAACAGGTACAAAAGTGTCTATATCCACAGTAAAACGAGTCCTATATCGACATAACCTGAATGGCCGCTCAGCAAGGAAAAAGCCACTGCTCCAAAACCGCCAAAAAAAAGCCAGACTACGGTTTGCAACTGCAAATGGGGACAAAGATCGTACTTTTTGGAGAAATATCCTCTGGTCTGATTAAACAAAAATAGAACTGTTTGGCCATAATTACCATTGTTATGTTTGGAGGAAAACGGGGGTGCTTGCAAGCCGAAGAACACCATCCCAATCGTGAAGCACGGGGGTGGCAGCGTCATGCTGTGGGAGTGCTTTGCTGCAGGAGGGACTGGTGCACTTCACAAAATAGATGGCAAATGGGTCTTCCAAATGGACAATGACCCCAAGCATACTTCCAAAGTTGTGGCAAAATGGCTTAAGGACAACAAAGTCAAGGTATTGGAGTGGCCATCACAAAGCCCTGACCTCAATCCTATAGAACATTTGTGGGCAGAACTGAATAAGCGTGTGCGAGCAAGGAGCCCTACAAAACTGACTCAGTTACACCAGCTCTGTCAGGAGGAATGGGCCAAAATTCACCCAACTTATTGTGGGAAACTTGTGGAAGGCTACCCGAAACGTTTGACCCAAGTTAAACAATTTAAAGGCAATGCTACCAAATACTAATTGAGTGTATGTAAACTTCTGACCCACTGGGAATGTGATAAAATAAATAAAGCTGAAATAAATCTCTCTACTATTATTCTGACATTTCACATTCTTAAAATAAAGTGGTGATCCTAACTGAACTAAAACAGGGAATTTTTACCAGGATTAAATGTCAGGAATTAGTAACAGTAGCTAGTTAACTAGCAAGCTAGTTACATTACTAAGGTTGCTGTGTTCTAAGTTGGGGGTCATTTTACAGCTTGCATTGATGGTATCACGTTTCCTTACTAAATAGCTAGTTCGATAAAAAATAAAATAAGACTTAACCTGATAAAGTTAGCAGTTTGTGTATGTAAACTTCCGACTTCAAATGTAGTTGACCAACATAGAGAGACATTTACATTACAGATTTTTCACCTAGCCAGGATTCAAACCAGCAGCCTTTCAATTACTGGCCTAATGCTCTTAACCGCTAGGCTACCTGCCACCCTAGCAACACGGTGTAAGAAAAGAAAACAGGCAAATACAATGTCTAAATAGTGACGACAGGGCTAGTTCAAACTGCAGGACTTAGTGAATAGATCATAGGAGACAAAAGTGAGAGACAATAATGAATACATATGCTCAAACAAGCACATGTATCTGTAGTGGGTGTTCTTCAATTCTAAAATGCACTAGACTAAAACAATATGTGGTCCCAATGTCTAAATAGTGATGGCAGGGCTAGTTCAAACTGCAGTCGAATGGTTCTCACAGGTGAACGAATCAGCCCATGCGTGGTGAATAGCACTTGGTTGATCTCTGGGAGAAGGACACAGGAGAGCTGAATAGATCATGTGAGACAAAAGTGAGAGACAAGAATGAATAAAATAAATAATCACAGCAAAGGAATGTAGTTTGTGAGCTAGAAAATGAACGACCTAAAAGCTCTGCAATCATTCTACTCCAGCTATTGACAGGGATACTGTGTTATTTCTTATTTGTCAGTATGAATAAAATTAGTGGGTCCTGCCTTGATGTCTGTTGTATATTTTTGTAGTCTTAACTTATTACTTGGAATAAACTGAAAGCTAAAACGCTCCTTGTCCCGGAATGACACGCTAGCAAGTTATAAAGCTATCTGCTACTGCTAGCTAGCAACATATATATCTACTTATTGTAACTACAGTAGCTAGTTACATTACTAAGGTTGCTGTGTTCTAAGTTGGGGGTCATTTTACAGCTTGCATTGATGGTATCACGTTTCCATTACTAAATAGCTAGTTCGATAAAAAATCAAATAAGACTTAACCTGATAAAGTTTGCAGTTTGACGAACAGAGTTCTCTCTCGAGATGTCACCAGTCTACTACCTTAGATACGGATAACGTGATTAGCAGAGATAGTGCCATGGATAGTACACACGTTTTGATTGGTTTACATTTTAGTACTCGGCGGCGTTTGCCTGTCCATGATAGCAATAACTATATATACAGTATGTATACTATATGTAATACAAGTAAATAATATAAAGAAAAGGTGCGTGGGTAAATGTATGTGCTGCATAAAGATCATTGATCTAGGAAAATAAAGTCAAACATATGACAGTTTAGCATGAAGTAGAAGCCCCTCCCACTCATGTCTCACTAGTAGAGAGCTGTCGAAAGTGAAAATAAATTTGTTCCATCAGAAGTCATTACAGAGACTGTTTTTAACTTTCACTCTAACTACGATAAACAACTGGAATTGTTCTCCTTGCAAATACCAAGAGACTAAACAATAACAAGGAGATACCATCCAAACGGTAAATTCTAAGTGCAGCTGTTAAAAGTGAAGGTTGTAAATTTGATCAAAGTTTAATGCCTGTAGTCTAGTTTCTGGATAATCTACAATGGCGACGCCTGCTTCTGTCCCTGAGCTGCTGCTGGACACTCTGGATAACTTGGTCTCAAATGAGCTGAAGAGATTTCAGTATCTACTGACTAAGAAGATGTTAGATGGCCGGTTTCCCATTCCTAAGAGCTGTCTGGAGAACGCTGGCAGGGAGGACACTGTGGAGGAGATGTTGAAAGTCTACAGCCATGAAGGAGCGGTGAAGATCTCAATGGATATCCTGAGGGCGATGAACCAGAATGATCTTGTTAAGACGCTGGAGGGAGGCACTCTAGAAGAGGTGCCAGCACTGAAAAAGACTTTGTTTGATCAAAGGGAAGAACTAAAATCCAACTTGGAGAGTCTTCGAAATAATCAAGAAACC